TGATCAGTAGCCCGAGAGTTCCACTCTGCAGCTTCCACCATTTGCGGAGGGGGAGGCGGAGTTTGCCTCTGCTGTTGCTGTCGTTGTTGCCTTTGCTGCTGCTGTTGCTGTTGAGGTGGGAGTAACCCACGACCCCTCCCGCTTTGCTGTTGAGCGGAGGGGGTCCTGGATCCGCTGCTTGGGCAGTCGTGCCTTTGCTTGATTCTCCTCTCCTCCTCGACTTGAGGATCTCGGTCGCGCACTTGACCCCGACTAAAGGCCCTCGGAGGTAAGGGTGGCGTTGGTCCGTGTTGATGGAGCATTACTGGTCGACCCCCGTCCTCTCCCGGCGGCAAGGGCCTGCCTTTGCCTCAAGAATCCCAGGTCTATATAAGGCGTGTGCGACATAGCTACCTCTAAGGCGTCTTTGCATCTAGGGATTGAAGGATGTGGAAGTCAGGTCACGAATCTCTCCCCGAAGTGCCCACCTCGACGTGCGAAGGAACCAAAGCCTCTCTGGCCCCGAACTCCTCAACTTCAAGTGCACCCTCTACTTCCTCCTCAGTAGCCCTGTCGGGGTCTTCCTCCAAGTTCTGCTCGGCCTCTTGTTGCACAGTCTGATCGAAGAGTTCAGACCACCGCAAAGGGTCGAAAGGCTGGGGAAGCTGTGAGAACTTTTTGTACCCGACTGAGTAGTTCAGAAGAATATGAGCAGCCCGACCGAACCCATCGTCGCCAACAAATCTCCAAACAATAACGAGATCAGCGAAGTTTACCAAGGATCGAGGGGGAGGAACGACTTCCCAGGCGGAGACGTCTGCACAAGAAAGAAGGTTAATATCACTTCTAAAGGACAAAAACAGTAGACTCGGAGAAATCGACATACTTGTCGCTCTCCATTCAAAAGGGCATATCAGACTGTTGTACTCAGGACCGGTACCCCGCTGCTAGGATCCACTGAAGATCAGAAGGTCATCCTTGTATTCTTTGTCTGAGTCAGGGAGGTGAGTTACAAAGTACATGGAGGGATCCCTAGCTTTGAGGTAGAAATTTTACTGAGGCATGACCCTCAATAGGGAGTAGCAAAAAAGGATATTGTTGAGTCCAACGTTTACCCCTAGACGGTTGTTAAGCTCTAAGACCCCCATTATTATCTTAAAGACGTTAAGGCAACACTGTCCTAGGAACAGGTTGAAATGGGCAAGGAACTGCAGGAGTAGAGGAGGAAGGGGGAACCTAATTTCACCCTCTCTGATTGCCTTGGTGAAAAAGGGCATCTCATCCTCGGCCCCGAGAGTACGGTTATGCAAAACTGGGTCGTATTCTTCTATACCTACGTTTGGGGGATACGGTATCGGGCCCTAAACCTATCGATCAGCTCGTCTCCCTTCACTTTGTACTTCCCTGGCCTCGAGTAACCGGCCTGGGGATCCTCGGTGATAGTGCGACGTCGAGGCATCTCCAAATAAGATAAAAACTGAAGAGGAAGGAATAAAATTTTCTACGAAGATCCCCGAGGGGTTTCCTGAGGGTTGGTCACACAATGACAACCAGAAACACCTTCGATTATCGGGGAATAAAAAACCAAAACCCAGAAAGACGGAAAGAAGGGAGATGCAAAGACTCACCAGAAGGCGAAACGAAGGTTTCTGAAGGACTCGGGAGTGGTTCCTCTCTCCAGAAGGTTCTGAAGCGAGAGGGTGTTTGTTGGCCTAAACTCCGGTGACGACTGACTGGTAGACGACGTGACTAAAGGGGTCTCCGGCGAAGTTTTTCAAGCGAAAGCTCTCTGAGTTCGAAATGGCAAAAGTGTGATAAAAAGAGAGAGAGTCCATTTATATAGTACCCATCCCTATCAATAGGTGCGAAGTACGAAGAGGCGCATTTAATGTGCACGACCCCCTAAGCATGGGAAAACGGCTGGAAGCAATGATGGAGTGGTTGGGGCAGTTGCAGAACCCTTCGTCTCCTTATAACGCGTGTCCTCGGCGTCAGAAGATCGAAGGCTGGGGGGCAGTTGATGGGACATTTCCAGACACTCCCAAATGATGATGCGTATACTCGGCGTCAATGGAGCCTATCGCTGTGGTACCGACACGTCTTCGTCGGTTTCTAACCCCCTGCCCCGAGGGATGCTATTCACAGGGATCAGGGATCTCCTAAACTACCGTGGACCGACACGTATTCCTCGGTAGTTTGGGTACATCGGTCCTAAGTTGTGCTAAGACCCTCGGCACCGAGGGGTATCTACCCGCGTGGGCGTTTCTGCACATGCAGGGGCTATTGATGGACAGATCACTAGCCTAGGCAAGGCTAGGCTAGCCATCATAGCCTCGTCTTACTCAAATGGTGTCAGGAGGCACAAGGAAGCAAAAGGCTCAAACAAAGGGGAATGGACACGTGGCATATTGTGTCAGATCAGAGACGAAAAGACCAGAATGCCCTTGCTGACACACGACTTGAGAAAGCAAGTATTAAATGCACCCTTCCTTTGATGAGACAACATTTAATGCATGAGAACTCGGAAGTGAAAGGTAATAAATGCACCAAAGCTTGGGCATTTAATATACCCCCGCCGAGAGAAGATCATTAAACGCTCGACGGACTGAGGAGGAAGCATTAGTTGCTCGGGGTCCCGAGCAGTAAAGAATAAGACTATTACTTATAGAGATTGGTGTGCACGCTGCCCACCCCCAATGATTACCTACTAGCTACGCTGTCAGTAATGATGAGTTTTTAAGGTATAAATAGTCCTTACCAACACAAAAAAGAGGTATGCAATAAACCCTCTCTCAACCTCATACAGTGTTTTCTTCTTCCCCTCTCTCAAAGCACTGACTTGATCGTCGGAGGGGATACGCCGGAAAAACACTCCGGCACCCTTCTAACTTGTTTTTCTTTGTTCCAGAACCTCCTTTAACCTTCCGGGATCACTCAGGCGATTCGTACAAACGATTCATTATCCACCTTCGACCCTCACAACCTGTTCCAAGTAGCAAGATCGACCATCCGATTGACGGACACGTGTTCACTACGGAAGAGATCTGTTATAGTATTTGTATTGTGCAGGATCTTGCACGCACAATCATCTATATTCAATCAAGATCAGTTTAGAAATATTACCAATTTTGAATTTTTTAGGATTGTGTAATGCAACTGAAATTCCCGATTTATTGACTTTGGATATCTAGATGTGATGTCTAGTGTCTTCCTTTATTGTTCTTTCTTTAGACTTTTGCATTTGCATATCCTCGCGTAAACTATTCTTCTAAATCCTAAAAGTCATACTCTAAAATGTCCGACCCTTTCCTTCAACAATAACTCAACCCTATCAAGTAAAAAGCCCACAAAAGTTTAGCATAATGTGCAGATGTTACTAATTTGCAGCACAGGAATAGCTCCCATAACAGAGCTATTAGCAATGAATGTCTACACCTCCAAGAGGGGATTTCCAGAACGTCCTTCGACCAAACACCTTCAAGCATAACCAATTTCAACACATTCAAATTCAGGATGCCCACAACCTTCCTCCCACCTGCAAAAGCTCAAACTCCAACTTTTTTTTCCAAAGGTTAACTCCATCAACTTAAGCCCACCATATTTACAATTTTATGCAGCAGTACCCTCAGCAGTGTAGTCCTCAATCAAGGCATCAAAGCTAGAAGTAGAATACTTAATACCCCACACTTCCACTACATCAATTAGACTTTGCTTCAAGAAAAGACAACCGAGTGCACGAGACTTCCACCACTGCAGAGTCACATAATTGTTATCAACTAGATTTTGCTATGGTCTTAGAATTTTGATCAACTAAACTTTGCTATGATAATAAAAAAAGTTAAAAGACATCAGTTATCAATATTTTATGTCACAAGATAAAAGAAATACTAATTCATTCTACCCTATATAACCTAATATTTTACATATATATATATATATATATATATATATATATATATTCTATGCAGCTTGATTGGAGTATGAAGACTGATCGAGAGGCTTGTGATCGTGAAGAGTATTTCTCAATTACATGATAATACAAATGAGAGAGCAAATACATTTCTTTCCGCAATCTCCCCTCCTTTAATCCTCTTCTTAACCTACTCTATTTTTTTTTTTTTGTTTGGATCAAACGTGTGGCACATTTTACTTTTTGGTAGTTCTAGGGATTACTTAGGTGCATCCACAATTCTGACATATAACGTGCTTGACATTACTTAAAGCTCATTTCCAATAATTCTTGGAGTTTCTCTAACATCCCAAACCCAATAATTCTTGGAGTTTCTGTAACATCCCAAACCCAACGTCAAGATATTCCCCAGTTTCCTCATAGACCTATGGTTTTAAAACTCTTCTTAATGCTTAAAGGTTCAACAACCACATATATAACCAAGAAAACCTTCTGTCTCTAGCCGACAAACAGTAACCAAGTACATGGACTTGAAATCTTAACGTTACCTCTCCTCATCTTGTCCATCCGGGCCCAAAGCCTAAAGAATCTTCCCATGTTGAATCTGAATCATCATAACCCAACCCGCCATACATCACAATTTGGACCCGCCCCACCACCATAAGAAGAGCCAAATTTGATACCACCAATACCATCCCAAAATACCTTATTTGCCCAAAAAAATGGTTTTAAAACGTTTCACAACGGTTAAGACTAAGCCACCATATATAGCACAATAGCCTTTTCATTCCGGGAAATGTGAGAGTAAGTACATGGGCTTGGCACCTTCACCTCACCTTATCATCTTGGCCCGAAGCCTTAGAATCTTGGTTTATTGGATATGGATCATGATAGTAGTTAATAGGAATTTCCAACTTTCTTCGGAGAATTCATTTTTGAGAATGTGCTTTGTCGGGTTCCAGTGAGATAGTTCTTCAGTCATTTCAGCAGAATCATATATGCGTGTTAAGAAATATCTTACCACTAACATACTTTAATTTGCTTTCATTTTTAAGTAATGTCATTTGGTATCTGTAAGAATTGGAACTTGTTTGTTTACAATAGCTTGCTGCTTTAGTAGTGCTTAAAGACAAGTGACCTTATTATTAACACTGCACCACAGTTTACCTGTGATACAAGTAGAAGAAAGAGATCGAGTGCTCCAGATAAGAGCATTCTGTTGTTGTCTTCATATGCAATTCGCTTAGACTCCAGCCATCTTTAATATTTCGCTTCTTGGCTCTTTTATCCACTTTACAGACACAACCCATCTGGAGGAGAGCATTGAACTCCAATGGCACCTTTGTTTCATATATTCCCTGATAAAAAATTATTATTCGAATGAGAACGAAATTATTATAACCCGACTATTATCAAATAACATCAAAAGACACATTTTAAAAACTGAGAATTGTGGCAAGAAGGGTAACATTTATCCTGAAAAAACGTGAAATTTTATATTACTTCATTCTTAGCCTTGGAATGATAATTTTGGTGTAGAAGTTTATTCTTCTGAAAACAAGAGGAACTTTATGAAGAAGAAAAAGGTTCCCGAATAAAGTTAAATAAACTTCCTTCTTTAACTAAGTCAGGGTTATAACTCATCATTGCAAAAAAGCATGTTTGGAATGCATTGAGAGCAAAACAAAATTTCAAAAATCAAATCATACTTCAGGAACATTAGCTGCAAGTATAGAGAGCTAAAGCATCAAATTATATAAGTAAATACACTCAAGAAACATAAGAACTTGTCATGAAAGGCATGGCCACAACAGTGTTACTTAACAGTACTAGGAATTGAGCTGCTGGTGAGAGAACTTTACAAAGGAACTGAAAAGAAAAAAACTAGAACAAGCCAATGCTAAAATAATTACCATGGAGATTGAATTATTGAAAAAAAATTAAAGCAATTCCCAAAATATGTAGCTGTCACACACCTTTTTAAAATGGAAAATGCATGCATACCAAGAAAGGAAATAAATGAGAAAACACTTTAGTAGGGTGGGTCATGTATTCCGTCCAGTAGGATCAAATATTCCATGCAAAGGATGCAAACAAGGAATAAGCATGCATTCAATGTTGCAACTACATATGTGCTTGTGGTTTGTAATCTGACGTCAACTTCAGGATCTGCAAGGTGAGCTGCCAGTTTCTTGCTTTCTGCCCTAAACTGATCTTCATCAATAATGACCTAGTAAAATGCATACAAAATAGGAAGGGAAAAGAAGAGAAGAAAAAAAACAAAACATTTGAATTGAGGACCAAGTTCTACAGGCCTTCATTTCTAACTTGAGTATGATAACAACCAATCTACCTCAATTAGGTTATAGCTACGGCGTCCATGAGGAAGAATCTTGTTCACCCACCTTCCAGGAAATTCTTCTGTGACAGGAGCTTAGAGTTGAGGTAGAATACTCGAGGAACACTTAAAGTAATCTTACGCATAGTTCCTTCAACAACCACCCAGGCAAAAAATTGCCCATGCTTTGAACTTGGTACAAGCTGAATTATCTGAGTGAATGGACAAAGAGATTAAGCACTCACGAAAGGAAGGGATGCATCTAAATGCTCAATAAATGCATAAAATCTACATAACCTGCCAGTGGTTACCCATAAGGGCAAGCTCATGCTTCTCAAAATAAGAGTTGACCCCATTTCTTCCCCGAGCTTGTTTGTGATTGACCACACTACCAGACACCTCAGCAATAGCATTAGTTTGGTTTAATGCCTTTAATTTGTCCAACCTGCCAGAGTCAGGCATGCCCCACTCACTATCAAGAACCCAAGCATAGACCATCAAATTTGGCCTAAGTATGCGGAAGTCAAAGAAGAAAGTACCTTTGTCGCTTCCTTTTCTCACGAGTCTCTTTCCACTTTCTCTTCTTTAATTCAAGCCATCCTTGATAATCCACATTTCTGTCTATGTTTTCCTTAGGGATAGCATTTTCTTGGAGATGAATTAACAGTTCACTCAAACTTCCACCACAACCAATCTGCTGTGGAAGATTTAGTAGACAATTTGTCTTCACCGGATGCTGCTCATTATTGACCCCGTAACAATGAATGATAGGTCTAGGTCCAACAACAGAAGTCCTTCCTTTTTTCCTGAAGTCTTCCACATCTTCAAAATTCTGTTCGTCAATTGCATGGTTAGGGGCATTAGCATCAGTTCTCGGCTGCATTCGACCTTCCTTGTTCGATGAACTGAATATATCGACTAGTTTCCGTTGGCGAAATTTGTCTTCCTTTTCACGAACCTTCTTATGCAACCAATCAGGATGAACTACTCTAGGAACGGGATTCGCAACCTGCAAAAATTATCTCACTATTGTAAATCAAAAAGGTTGAATACTTCAACAGAAAAGAATGAATGAGTAGGCACCTTCTGCATTGCAGCAGGAATGGTGATAATTTTTTGAACAGCCGAACTAAGCCGTTGCTTGTAATAAGACCAATCAACAATGGAGCGGATGCCAACATCTGATGAAATCTTGCACCACTTCTTTACATAAAACTTCATAATTTCTGCAACACAATACACTGAGCCCTTTTCTCCTTTGTATATAAAAGATGCAAGAAAGTAAAACCAATAAACTAATAGGGAATTTTACCAGTATCAGTTTCAAATATGGCAACAGGAACAGGAACAGCACGCTCACTGACTGGGGTTCCCTGCTCATGTTAGCATGACAGCAACAATGAAATCCAAGTACAAAAAGAAATACATAAAAAATCAAAAAGAAGAGAGAAGCAAAAGGAATGACCAAATATGTATGATGGGGACAACAAATCAGACAGAAAGTAGATATATTGATGTGACCAATCCACAAGGTGAAATGCCATCATCACCGAAACAAAGATCAACCATATTTCAGAAACGAATTGGCATATGAGCAACTGCATTATCTTCAATAAGTGATTAACTTAAGGTTGCAGCAAAGGGCAAGGCAAAAGTATCAGTGTGGGAAAAAAAATCACTTTAGGGCATAGCAAATATGTGTATACATATATGTATAGAGAAAAAGAGAGAGTCTATGCCTCAATTAAGCATTGATTATTCCCATATCATCAAATTTTGTGGGAAACAAAAGATGACGCCACAGATTTCAAACAAAGATCTTTAATTTTCTGATAAGATATGGCATCCGGTAAACGGATTAGTAACGTATAAAGATGCACAAGAAAGCCAATTGTGATAGTAAAGACAGACTGGAAAATAGAACTACTGGTATGAAAAATGTAGTGATGAGATAATTCTTTAAAATATAGCTTTTTGGCACAAATTAATTAGTCTGTATCTACAATAAGTTGCATGGACAAAGAAGAAGAACATTAAATAATAAAAAATAAATAAAGGGATAGCAATTGCTTGGTAGAAAATGTTGAATAGGAGATTTTACGGCACAAGAATTATAAATCTAATGAATCTGCACTTCTTCACCTGATACTAGTACATACCAAAAAAACCCATATCAATTTTTTCTGTGATCGATTTAGAAATAAATTTAGACGATAATGAAAGGCTACAGAGAATATGAAATATCTGCTTAAACAAAGTGATTGTGAAGAAGTGTATATCACTTGACTGAGTACACCTCTGACCTCATGGTAAACAACTTTACAGAGCAACTCTAAGGCATTAAGTGAAGCAAAGGCATAGACAAGGACCTATGGGTAGAATGTAAAGATGTTGGGTGCAAGAATCAAATTTTTGTTTCAAAACAACCGAAACGTTTTTGTTTCTAAGGAGACCAAAACGAAAAAGTGGTTGAATTGAATTCCAATGCTTCGAAGTATTTCGAAGCATTTCAAGGTGTTTTGAAATGTTTCGATATGTTTCGGCATAGTTACACAATTGTTTCGGAATATTTCGAGGTGTTTTAAGATGTTTTGGTATATTTCGACCAATGTTTCAAAAATAAATTCTAAAAATTTTTAATGTTTCAATTCTGTTCCGAAACATTCCCGTTACTTAAGTAACCGAAACAATGCACCAAAACAAAATTTTGATCCTTGATTGGTGTCAAGTTGATCTGATTTGGCAGAACAAATTAGTATGATGGATACAAGGAGATTTTAGTGCAAATGTGGGGCATGGGCGAGAATGAATCACCGCGTCTATTTTTTTAACTGAAATAAGTCCAACATGTGACTGAGAGTAATCTTGATCTGATGCAGTAGGTATAGAAAATGGTGATGATAGGCACGCACTGATGCTGATGAATCATAACTCATAAGGCACCCCAGAGATTGATAATACTTTCATCACGAGACAAAGGAACAATAATCACCACTCCTTTGATATAAATAGTTGTAAGTACACATCAGTCAGACACAGTTGATAACCAGGAAGCAATATTCCAGGTAAAACATGAGCAAATTAACAGTTTAAGCAAGGACTCAAAGCCTTGCTGCCAATTTTTTGCAAGAGTTATAGATAGTTATTGTTAAGGATAGCTGTCATTAGGCTGACAAGGTTGCAGCACCAAGAAAAGGTAAAAAGTAACGAAGAAGATGTTTATGTTCACATTTTACCAATCCTCTTTTGCACCATAGGATTTTTGTAATATTCACTGTGAAGCTACATAATGAATATCAGGACCAATATGAAGTTAGTTCCAAATCCAACTTCCGAAGCAGGGGATATCCGGTCCACTTTTCATAGGTTTTCCTAATCAAAAAGCCCTGTTCTAGCAAACTAATAACTCTAGTTTATACTGAAAGGAATTGGGCTAGCCGACCCATGAATAAAATTGTTCATTAGCCTGATTTTCTAGCGACCATTGCACTATTATAATTTCAATTGCTTTACGTTTCTCCTTTATTATTTTTTTTAACCTTTTTTCCTGGTCATATTCTATCTTATATTGGTCCATATTGAAAGTTAATGAAAAGATCCATCAAGCCACAAGTTGGAACAGATGCATAACCTTGGTTCACATGCAACTATATACTGACAAAGCAGTCCTTTGTCTTTAACCATTGTATCACCAAGAAAGTCAGCAAGGCGTTTTGCAGTGGTTACTGCACATAACTTTTGTTCACCGTAGTCTGCTAAGGACTTGCTCATTGTGCTTGATTCTGATATGTAATCAAGCAATTCACTGTCTGCAATGTCCTTTCCTTGATTCTGAAAAATGCATAAATTCATGAGAAGCAATGCCATTTTCTATTTTTTCACAAATGCAGCCATGACAATTTTTGGTAAATAGAAAAAGGCAAGTTTAAAGTTAAGGGAGTCTGCCCAAGACTTCAGAGGAATACTCTAAACAAATTGACAATGGATCATACAGAATGATGTTCCTGTTACATACATCAAGAAGATCAAGCCACCAGTTGGCAACAGAAGCAACTGCTGAATAGCACTCCTCAAGGCTTGACCCATGTAGGAATTTATCAAAAAGTTCAGCCTGCAAAGAACAGCGTAACTTAAAGCACTAACAACATTAATGCAGTTTTGGAAGCTTGCGTTCGCAAAATCATTCAGAAATATAATGAAGATAATTATATAGCAACTGGCAGCAAACATTTCAGTCCTGTCAGAGAAACATTTCAAAAACACAGGAAGATACTCAACTGCATAAAACATCTGACCACATTTCTTTTTTGTCCACTTCAGCTAATGAAACAGTAGATGGATCCTAAAAAAACAAAGACCCACAAGGAAGCTTAAAGTATAGAGAACAAGCCCTATATTAGGCCAGATGAGTTTGAATAAATCATCCATTACAAGTGGTTCAATTGATGGTCTCCATTCTGACATTCTAATACCTTCCAACTGTTTTTCTGGTGATCCAATATGGAAGCGAATCTCAATTTCAAGTGCTGTGTACAGGGCTACTTCTTATAAGCAGTTCAAGACGGATCCATTCAATGGCAAATCTTCAGGAATTCTGCTACTAAATTACAAAGTCGGCGGCTCAATAAAAAATGAAATAAAAAAGAGCTCCAACTCCAATATTTAAATGTTCACAAGACACATCAGTGAACATTCACTTAAAGCCAATTAAATTTTTTAAGATGTTAAAGGAAGAGCATGTTTCATAATCCTTTCCTCCTAGACAAAGCTTATCTTTTTGTCATGAGCAAAGATTCTTTTACATCTCACCATTACCCTTGTTATTTCACTTTTTTCAAGTTCTTTTTAATTGAAAACACTTGAAATAATCGTGAGTGAAAAAGGGATACAAACTAAGTGTAGAGCCCCCGTATATATAGCCAATGAAAGTTACAATAAAGATAAAAAGGTAAAAAAGAGAAAACTTAATAAACCCTAATAAACTAATCTGCTATATCTCCAACACTCCCCCTCAAGCTAGGGGCAAAAATGTCAACTAAGTCAAGCTTGATAATAGAGTCCCGAAGAATAGATAGAGTGACAGGTTTGGTGAAAACATCCGCAACCTGATCACTAGTCCCCACAAACGATGGAGTGACAATACCATTGCTAACCTTCTCCCGAAGAAAGTGAATATCGATCTCTATATGCTTTGTCCTTTCGTGTAATACAGAATCAGAAGCGAGCTAAATAGCAGATCGATTATTACAATATAAAGTAGATGAAGAAGTCACTGGAAGTCCCAACTCGCCAAGAATTGATCGTAGCCAGATAATCTCACATGTGCCAAGTGTCAGTGCCTGATACTCTGCCTCTACTGACGAACGAGAGACAACTGACTGTTTCTTGCTTTTCTATGAGATAAGATGAGTCCCTCGAAAAGCACAGAAGCCTGTAGTAGAACGACTGTCATATGCTCCCCCATAATCTGAATTTGAATAACAGACTAGAGAACCAATCTGAGATCTTGATGTATAGAACAACCCAAGTCCTGGACAAGACTTGAGGTACTGAAGAATATGATAAACTGCATCAAGATGTGGCTGACATGGTCTGTGCATGAACTGACTAACTCGGCTAATAGCGAATGAAATGTCTGGCCTAGTGTTGGCTAGGTAGATAAGTCTACCTACCAACCTCTGATAGACAGTCAGATCTCCCAACTCCTCACCTTCAATAGTAAGTTTCAGGTTTGGAATCATGGGTAATGATGCCGGTTTGCACCCCAGCATCCCAGTGTCTAAGAGAAGGTCCAGAACATACTTTCTCTGAGAAAGAACAATACCTCTGCTGCTACGGGCAACCTCAATCCCAAAAAAATATCGCAAAAATCCAAGGTCCTTCACATCGAAAGTCTTTCCAAGGTTTACCTTAACCTGCGCAGTCCCAGAAACATCATCTCCAGTAATAATAATATCATCAACATATACCAAAAGGATGACACACTGTCCGGAAGTATTCCGTCAAATAAAGCAGGTATGATCAGAATGACATCTGGTGAATCCTAAATGCACAACTACATCACCAAAGCGAGAGAACCAGGCTCGTGGTGACTGTTTCAGTCCATAAAAAGACTTACGTAGTTGACAAACCTTTCCAGCATACTTTCCCCTCACCACGAAAACCCGGTGGTGCATCCATATAAATAATCTCGTCCAGATCACCGTGACGAAATGCATTCTTCACATCCAACTGATGAACAGGCCAAGAGTACTCCGCAGCCAGAGAACTAATCAGTCAAACAGTAGTCAATTTTTCCACGAGAGCAAAGGTAGCACCAAAATCACGACCTGGTACCTAAGTAAAGCCCTTCGCCACAAGTCTAGCGTTGTGATGATTAATAGTACTATCCGCAAGAAACTTCAGAGTGTAAACCCAGCGACAGCTAACAGGCTTCACTCCTGAAGGTAAAGAGACAAGATCTCACGTATGATTACGCTGAAGAACGTCCATCTCTGTCTGCATGGCAAGAACCCACTGGGGTTCCCGCATAGCCTCTAAAATAAAGCGAGGAACCGGCGTATCTGATAAGGCCATACTATAAGCTCCAAATGTAGAAGACATATCACCATAAGAAACATAAGCAGAGATTGGATATAAAACTCTGGCGGTCCAACCATAACGAACAACTGGACGACGATCACGCCGTGGATAACGACGTTTTAAATCATCATCCTCCATTGATAATGTCTCATAAGGTAAAATAACTGGCTTAGTACCTGTAATCTCATAAGTACTAACAGCAGGTGCATCAATATGCTCAACTAACTGAGAAGTATTACCTGCATCGCCTGAGGTAGAGAGGGCATCAGCAGGGGGATGAAAGCGAGGGCAACGAACATAAACCTACAAAAGAAAAGAAACTGATGACTCTGTACTGACAGGGATGAGTGGCTCTGGAGGAGGAGAGACCAATGACTCTGTAGTGATAGTGACCAATGACTCTAGCTCTGGTGGTAATGAAAAATCAAATGGAGTATCATCAACTGGAGGGGCAGATACAGGACTGAAAGAAAAATAAGGAATATGCTCGAGGAAGGTAACATCTAAACTGTGATACATACGTCGCCTGACAGGATCATAACACCAATACCCTTTAGACTGATGACAATAGCCCACAAAGACACAACAAATCGCTTTATTATCAAGCTTATGATGAGTAGAAGACCGATCCTAAACAAAACATGTGCAACCAAAAACACGAGGTGGAACCGAAAAAAGTGCCCGTTCAAGGAATAAGACCTGTAAGGGAGCCCTATGCTGAAGAACACGACTCGGTGTACGATTGCACAAAAAGGTAGAAGTCAAAACAGCAAAATGCCAATAAGATTTTGATACCCCCATACCTCTAAGCATACAACGTACCATCCCTATCACACCCCTATTTTTTCTTTCAACAACTCCATTTTGCTTAGGAGTATATGGACAAGTGAGCTGCTGAAGGATACCCTGAGAAGAAAGGTGAGACACTAAGGCATCAGACACATATTCTTTGGCATTATCCGAATGAAGAACACGAACAATGACATCGAACTGTGTTTTAATCATTTGAAGTAATTGAGTGATGACAGAGAGTACATCAGACTTCCTATGCAAAAGGTAGACCCAAGTATAACGGGTATGGTCATCTATATATATCACATAATATCAGACACCTGACAAAGCAGTAACAGGAGAGAGTCCCCAAATATCCGAGTGTATTAGGTCAAATGATTTGGGTGACTGGTGCATACAAGGAATATAATTGGTCCAAACATGTTTTGATAGGGAACATATAACACAGTTAAGTTTACCACTAACACAAGCTTTACTCAAAACACGAAATAACATACATAAATATTTAAAATTTGTATGCCTAAAACGGTCATGCCACAACTGAACAGTTTGTGATGAAAAATCATAACGACAAGTATTAGGTAAAATACTAGCATGTAAGCTAGGAATAGATAAAGACAAAGCAGGTGATGGAGGTAGAGGTGGAGAAACTGGTGAAACCGGAGGTGGATTGCCTAAATAATACAGTCCATCTCTCTCATGTCCCCCGATAATAATCCTCCTGGTACTCAGGTCCTGCAAATAATACGAATCAGATAAGAATACAACCGCACAGTAAAAATCTCTAGCCAACTGATGTACAGATAATAGATTCATGGCCAGCTTTGGCACATGAAACACCGAACGTAATGTAAAGCCATCTGGGAGGCGAACTGTACCCCTACTAACAATAGGGGCATGTGTACCATCTGCTAACTGAACTTGAGTATGTAACTGCTCGTCAAAAGAGGTGAAATGATGGGCCTCACCTGTCATATGACCATTAGCACCCGAGTCCAGCATCCAAAGAGGAGACGGACTGGCGCATGTATGAAAGGCACGAGGTATACCTGTAGTAGTCGTAACAGTAGTAGTCGAACCTTGAGAAGTCAAGGCTGACATAAGTATATCCAAGTGAGAAGTGATAGCATCCATATCACTCTGCCAAGGAGGAGCAGTAATAGTAATAACAGGAACAATGACTGTAGGTGGTGGTGCCTAAGCAATGACAGCAGTACGGTTGCGAGGAGGCGGCTTAAGCTCCGGATAGAGCTTCCAACAAGTAGCCCTGAGATGTCCTAGTCGGCTACAATAATCACACTGACAAGAATCCTCATATCTACGTTGATGTAGGGTACCTTGACGGTGTTGGGCCGAGCGCTGTCGACCCCTATACCCAGTGGAAGTACTAACAGATGTCCCAATGGTAGGGTTCTCAACTCCCTCAGTAGTAATCATATTATCAACAATACAAGGGCACCCGTGACAAAAACAACTCTAAGATAAATAGAGAGATAAAATAAGTGAGAACAATATACCTTCAGTCGAACAGTAGCGACAAATAAAGAAAGTCCAGAAAGCTCCCAAATAATCAAGTCATGATGCTCAAAAATCCAATAAAGATAAATAAGTGATCTACTGCATCAAAAGCAGATCACCGGAGAATCTGCTCCCTCCCAAAAAAGTCCTAGAACAAAGTCACAACCAAAATTGTGACCCAGCAGTGGGCTGGACAATGATTCAGCAGTAGGAGTGGTTTTATTGGGTTTATTGGGTTGGATCTATTATTATTATTATATGAAGAATGGGTAAAGGGCGCTTGGCAGGCTATATACGGCCAGTCGATTTGGTTTCAGTGGGTATATGGTATTGGGTCTCGGTGTATATGGTTGTTTATGGGTTTCGGTGTATATGGTATTGTGTTTATGGGTTTTGATGTATTTGGTATATGTTACCGGTGCTGGTTTGAAGTTTTGGTGGCTGGGTTTCGTCTGGATTGGGCAGTCTGGTTTTTGGCAGTTGATATAGGGCAGTCGGTGCTTGGGTTACTGGTGGGCAGTTGGTGTGATGTCGCTTGGTTGGGTCGTCACTGGGTTGGTTTGGCGCTGTCGGTTTACAGCTTTGTGGTCAGTCAGTTGTGATGTTTTGTGGTCAGTCGGTGCTGTGTTGATCAGTCAGTACTGCGTTGCTGATTTACAGGGTGTTATGATACCAGGATGTTGTGTTGCTGCTAATCGTCGACTGTCTTGATATTGACGGCTGCTAATCGTCGGTGAAGGATGATGAGGGTTAGGGTTAGGGTTAGGGTTAGGCTCTGATACCAACTTGAAATAATCATGAGTGAAAAAAGGATACAAAAGTGTAGAGCCCCCGTATATATAGCCAATGAAAGTTACAATAAGGATAAAACGGTAAAAAAGAGAAAACTTAATAAACTAAGCTGATATATCTCCAACAAAAACAATGTTTATTACAGCCCCACATTAGCATAATTAGCACCTAGATTCTCTTCTTGAAACATTTGCAGAACCACTGAAGTCAACTTGGCAATTACAGAACATCAGAACACTAGAAGTGCTGAATTATAATAATGCTATTGCAAACTCCTGCTTGCTAAAGTTGAACTTGTAAGCAAATTTATATAAACTGTTCCCCTAGCCACGAATGAAACATAAATGTACTCATTTGATTTGAAAGATATCCAATAACAAGTGAGCACAGCTTGCACTACAAAATAAAAATTAAGTTTGTTTTTGAAGTAGCATCACGTCACTGTAAGTAACCCGTAGCTGGTAAACAGAAAATGGTTTAGCCTAAACAATTAGAACTATATGCAGCTTAGATCATTGGATGCATCTACTGATACAGTTAAATTAAACATATTACCATCTTAAATAGAAAAAGTAAGAACCTCTCAATATGGGAAAAGCTATCATGAAACACTTAATTTAAGAATCGAGTTTGTAAATTCTTCCCTCAACATTTCTTAAAGATTTCCAGAAAGTGCAGGCACACCGAAGCAACAACTCCTGACCATTTTCTAAATAATCTCACTTATTTTCTATACACCTACCCCAATGAATCAAAAAACCTAACATCAAACTACTCATCCCACAACTCCACAAAGTGAACGTCTCTTCAAAAGAACCACCTTAATTAGGATGCCAAAAATTACCACCTAACATATCTTGGATATTGAAGGTCAATTGCTACAAATAAACATTAAAATGCTAACAAACCACATTAGCACCTCCTTCACATAATAACTTTCAAAACCCGTTTGCATGCAACAGATTGCGTCCAATAAGCAAATGGCTCAACCATCAGGTCAAACAGTCCCGCCAGAACATCAATATCATGTTCATAAAAATGGACATGCGTATGAAAATTAATATATATACAATATCACAGAATGTTAAAGACTTTAAGCATAAAACAGACATACCATATTCATACATCAAGACGTCTATTTTTGTGTACTACCCGTCATTATTTTCTAGTAGATCTCTAGTTTAAATGTTTCCATGTACATTCTACATAAAAGCACATTAGAATGGATATGCGTAACAAGTTGACTACATTGTTACTTATTTAGTCTGGTGTAACGAATAGCTTGGATGGATGTTAGGTTTTGTTTACTGAAGGGTAAGTACATAATGGATATCTTCTGTGGCTATTGCAGACATGTAATTTAGACCATTGAATAGTTTAGACTGTATAAAAAAAATAAAAATAAAAACAGTTTAGACTGTATGAGTTATCACACTGTTGCTAGTAGTGTAGTTTCTGAAGTCTATCCTCCTTGCAAGGGTTCAACTCTTAGTTGCAACATTGGGTTAGGTTTTTGCCTTAAAAATAGAAAGTGCCCATGCCCATTGAGTCCACGTGTTATTTGCAGGTTACACAAACTCAAACAGGCTACAATGATTAGAAAATCAAGCACATCCAATACAAAGTTCAACAAGCCAATTTGGTGGTTCAATCCAGGTCTAACTATGATCCAATCAATCTACCATTATGCTTCCCATGAATATTGTGTAATACAAATCAATGGCTAACAATTTAAAATAGTTCCTTTCTAGAACACCTTATTCTTCAAATACCAAATTCTAATATCTCTATGCTGGTGAGTACAGTTATGCAATAGAATCCAGAACTTAGTGTTACAACATTCAACCAAAAACCAATTGGCAATGACTAAAGAGCCCTTTTTTTTGGATAAACCAACCTTGGGTAGTCCTAATGTGGGATATAAGCTCTCTTCAAACCCCCCCCCCCCAAAAAAAAAAAAAAAAACCCACACATGGGACCCAAGCAAACAAGTCCGGGTAACAAATAAACAGATAAACATGCATATCCAGAAATTCAAGTGGATAAGAGACTTGGTCCACTAACCACCTACGGGCCAACATCAATACCATAATTAGAGCATCTAAGCCAAAACCAATTCACAATGAGTGGAGAGTCCCTTTCACTATACAAACTAACCTAGGGTGGTTATAATCATTCGATGTGGGATACAAGCTCTCTTTAAATGTAGAACATTTTGGAGTATAAAACAGGGACGAGATTTGCCTTATATTCAAAAATGCAACAATAATTTTCTTCAAAGAAGGTATAATGTGACTTGAATGCACAAATTCCCTATTTAAAATAGAAGTTTGTATATTGGAAATTATCATTAAAGCACATTTTGGTTTGCTAATCCCAAAAGTTGTTTTAATCTTATGGAACGAAAATATATCCTGTTTTCAAACATGCAATTCAAAAGACGATCCATTAGGATATTAACGTATTCCCGCAACTTTGGGCTTCGCCATTGAATAGGAGAATGGGCTAGGAAACCAGTAAAAGAGCAAGAGATGTTTAAGAATATATGATTATTCCATGTCTTGAACAAGATGGTTTGACAAGGACTCCTACATCCAAAAGGATGCTTCTAGCTGTGGTGAATTTCACCACCAATAGGTACATCATACCAGCTACTTTCCTTTTGTGGACTCCTATACAATTTAAGGCGCAACATTTTTTTTAACCGTATGCTCTCCATAACTCTTGCGAAGAAGACAATTTCCAAGCTATCAGACAGGAACTGAATGCTAAGAATTAATAAGACGCACTTATAAAGTAAACACAATAAGTATCACTCCATAACTTTATACAGGTTAAATCAAGTAACTTTTGAACATCCACCTTCTTTGTTACCCATCTTCGAACTTCATAGCTTATAAAGAATGCTTTTAGAAGTTGAAATGAAAAATGATTATGTTTAAAAAAAATTCATTCTAAACAAATAGAGAAATAAAGAAATAAAAAAATGACATGATACATATCTTCAAAAAGTATAAGCTTCTTAATTACTTCGAGGTGAATGTTTAATATGACATTATGAATTATGAATTACAAATGTAAGGGCACAGCAGCATTCCTATTTGCACAGGTTTCTTGGTAGATTATCCGTTGGTCTCATTGCCACCAAACCATACATTTCCTGATATTGCAGACTCGTGGGTAGAAACAAAAAAGAAACTCAGGTCTCTAAATACAAAATTCAATACTTAGAAACAAAAAAGAAACTAAGGTCTCTAAATACAAAATTCAATACTACAGTGTCCCAACGCTTCAATCAAGATCATGAGGTACTGCAAACAGTGGTAAACGATTCAATCAAGTACCAATACCAATCTCTGTCTCCTTGTTCAGTAAATAATAGATAAATCACAGTCATGAACAGTAGGAAACAGTGATTCAAATAGTGTTATCTAAATGTGCCAAGAGTGAATTATTAATTCATTTGCATACCTGAAGCCTGTTTGTCAATATGATGTTTGGATACATTGCAGCCACATCTAGATGATATATCAAGGGGCATTCTTCACATACGGGGTCATCTCGTAACCTCATAAGCTGGATGTTGAAGATAAAATTAACACAAAGAAGGTAAATACATGATTCTATTGCCAAACTAAAATCTTAATACTATTACATCACAAGCTCAGATGACTAAATTATCAACCAAAAATGAATGTTAACCAAAGTTTACAGGATTTGAGATAGGAAAAATTATCAAAAACAAGTAGAATCCATATCATCCCCCCATATTTTGGATTGGTAACACTTCACCCCCACCCCTCAAACTTCAATTCGTGATACCTAGCCTCCTTGAACTAGTGGGTAAAGTGCAAACTGTTACAAAAAAATCTCTCAGAGGACTAAACCCAAAACACGCAAGGATTATACTGAAACAAGCACAGCAGCTAGATTTTGAAAAGTTCATAAATTAAATTTCAAGGACTTCATCTTATTTATATTCATACAAGGAAGGCCATATGCATTTATATTCATTATGCACACACACTCACACATAACAGTAGCCATGTGCAGCTCTCTCTCTCTTCCACCCCCACCCCCACCCCCCAAAAAACCTCACGCAGCTGACAGCCCACAATTTCTCTCTGTCTCTCCACCAAATACAGCATAATCTTTGTTTTTATATCTATATCTTTTTTGAAGTGGGTGTGTATATCTATATCACTACATTATATACACCACATAGGAGCTCGATTTTCTCCATTGAACCACCACTGCAATACAGTAGTTCATGTGAAAATAATTGACAATTATTAGTAAAAAGAAATTTGGATTTAGAATTCACTAATTTAAGGTCTTTGCAATTGTTAATAATTTTTTCCACCTGGTTTTGAAGTTTTTGTTCTTCTCTAGTACTTGAAAATTGAAAATTTGGTGCAACACAGGTAGTTCATCACCAATCTATGGTTATCACAATTTGATTTTTGTAGAATCTTGCCCATTAAATTGTATTTTGTGTCCAGCAACATCATGTCCATGACTTGATAGCAATGCAGTGATCAGTGCTTTCATTATGGTTTCTGTGAAATACATATGGTTCATTTACCAGTCTCTAACTCAGTCGGGTAAATTTGTACTGAAAGAGATCTGAAAATGTGCCAGAACACTGGTTCCTCAAACAGTCTAGCCACCGTTTTTTGTTGGAGTAATTTGTTCAAATGCCAGCATTGACCCATAAATTTTTTGAATTTTTGAAGACTTGTGTTTCTTGTGCCTTTTGTCTCCAATTGAAATGACGGTGAGAACAGGCTGAAGTGAGCTTAGCAGAGAATAAAGACTTGTACTCGTTTTGCACCTATCTCACTGAATCGGCAGAAACTTAAGTTTATAACTTCTTTAGTTTATGTTTAGCTATTGCTGAACAGTCAAAATAATTCACTTTTCCATGAGTTCCAG